GCGTCATGGTGGGTGCCTATAGTCCCAGCTACTCAGGAGGCTGAGGCAAGAGAATTGTTTAAGCCCAGGAGTTGGAGGTTGCTGTGAGCTGTGATGCCACAGCACTCTACCAAGGGTGACAGCTTGAGGCTCTGTCTCAAAAAAAAAATTTTTTTTTACTAGTATAGAAGAGGAAATGCTATTCAATTATTAGAAAAGATGATTGCAAAACATCTTTAATGGTAAATACTGATGTTACTGCATTAAGGAAGAGAAAAGGTACAAAATTAGAAAGTCTGGATTAGCTCAACTATAACATACACACACACATATGGAGTGTGTGCTTGTGTGTATGCATGCATATGTGTGTGTGTGTACAACAAAGTCTAGAAACAAATATTCCAGATGTTCATTATGGTTTCCTCTGGATGGTGAAATTATGGTGTTATGGACTAAATGTTTGTATCCTTCCCACCAACCCCAAACTCATATGTTGAAGCCCTAATCCCCAATATAATTGCATTTGGAGATGGAGGCATAATTAGGAGATAATTAAGATTAGATGAGGTCATGAAGGTGGGACCCTCCTAATGGAATTGGTGCCCTTATAAGAAGAGACACCAGAAAGCTTGATCTCTATGTATGCGCACACATAGAAGAGGAAGGCCACAGATGCACACTGCAAAAAAGCAGCTGTCTATAAACAGCTGGTGAAGAGAACCCTCACTAGAACCCTATCATGCTGTCACCTAATCTCAGACTTCCAGCATCTGGAATTGTAAGAAAATAACATACTGTTGCTGTAGTCACTCAGGGTGGAGGGGTGGATCCTATGTTGAATAGTACTGGTGGTAGTGGACATCCTTGCCAGGTTCTGAGTGGAAATGCTTTCAGTTTTCCTCCACTCAATATGTTACTGACTGTGGGTTTGTTGTAAATGCCTTTATCAGTTTTCTAAGAAAAGTGCCACTCATGCCTATTTTCTTAAATGTTATTATCCAAAAAGGATGCTGGGTTTTTTCAAATGCGTTTTCTGCATCTATTTTTTTTTTTTTTTTAGACAGAGCCTCAAGCTATTGCCCTAGGTAGAGTGCTGTGACGTCGCAGCTCACAGCAACCTCCAACTCCTGGGCTCAAGCAATTCTCCTGCCTCTGCCTCCCAAGTAACTGGGACTACAAGCACCCGCCACGATGCCCGGCTGTTTTTGGTTGCAGACATTATTGTTGCTTGGCGGGCCCGGACTGGATGCGAACCCGCCAGCTCAGGTGTATGTGGCTGGTGCCTTAGCCACTTGAGCCACAGGTGCCAAGCCATTCTGTATCTATTAAGATCATAGGGTCTTTGCTTTTCCCTTTGTTTATGTGATGAATTTATGTTTATGAATTTGTGAATGTTGAACCAGCCTTGCTTCACTGGGATGAAGCCCACCTGGTCCTGATTTTTTTTTTCTTTTGCTGTATAGCTGAATTCTCAGTGTTAGGATTTTATTGAGTATTTTTGCATCAATATTTATTCTTCTATAGTTTTCTCTCTTTGTTGAGTCCTTTCTTGGTTTTCACATCTGGGTGATATTTGCTCATAGAAGGAGGGAGGATTCTTCTTTCTCAATGTTTTAGAATAAGTTCTGCAATACTGGCTGGAGCTCTTATTTGATGAGTTGGTAGAATTCTTGTGTGAAACTTTTTGTCCAGCACTTTTTTTTGTTGGAAGCTCTTTTATTACTGTTGCAATTTCAATGCTTGATATTGGTATGTTCAAGGGTTCTGTTTCTTCCTGGCTGAGTCTAGGGAGGTGGAGACAGTTATCTTTAACCTTTGCCCGGTTCATTAGATATTCCTAGTTAACTTTTTTCTTGTACATAGTACCCCCCTAGGGTAAATCAAACCCCCAGAGGAGAGCGATCACCATTACTCTGCAGATGCTTCTGGCTCACATGATCAGTTAGGTGGTTGTTTTGGCAGCTTCAGGAATCAGGGTCATATGTGGGCACTGGATAAAAAACCTGGATGCTGTTGATGACACTGGATGCCCTTGAGAGGAGGGGCAATTCAGTGGACCAGCCAGGTTCCAGTGCTACTGCTATCAATCGACCTTATTACTTTGTTGGTCTCACTTTCTTCTTCTAGATAATGTGTGTGTGTTGGGGGAGGGACCTACGGGTGAGGAGAGCGGTCATTGACCCCTTCTGTATTGAGTGTTCCAGCACCAAGAAAATTAGATTCTTATTTGAGGTTCCATTAGACCACCAGAGGTCACTATTGACTAACGGTATTGGTCTAAAGTGCAATTTATTCAAAACTTGAGGACACGTTTCTTTCAGAGTTTTATGCACGTTAGAAAATGAAACACCATCTTAGAGTAAGGGCTTCTACATATTCAGTGCTATAAGCAAAGCAGGAAAAGGAGTGCCTCCCAAACTCTGTTACATACTGAAATCCTTAAAAATACTGATGCCCAGGGCAGTGCCTGTGGCTCAAAGGAGTAGGGCACTGGCCCTATGTATCAGAGGTGGTGGGTTCCAACCCGGCCCCAGCCAAAAAAAAAGAAAAAACAAAAAACAGGGTGGCGGTGTCCAAATCTTTTGCCTATTTTTAATCTTTTTTTTTCAAGACAGGGTCTTGCTTTGTTGTCCAGGTTAAAGTGCTGTGGCATCATCATAGCTCATTGCAACCTCAAACTCCTGGGCTTGAGCAATCCTCTTGCCTTAGCCTCCCAAGAACCTGGGACTACAGGCATGTGCCACCACAGCTGGATAATTCCTCTATTTTTTTGTGGGGACAAGGTCTCATTTTTGTTCAGGCTGGTCTTGAACTTCTCAACTCAAGCAATGCTCCTGACTCAGCCTCCCAAAGTTTACAAATGTGAGCCACCATGCCCAGTCATTTTTGTTGTTTTTGTTGTTATAATGTTTTGCGAGTTCCATTAATATATATTTCTGGACACAAGGAAATATTTTCTTCTCAACTATAGCTTGTCTTTTCATTTTCTTAACAGTGTCCTTTAAAAAATGGAAGTTTTCAATTTTTATGAAATCCAGTTGTATAGTGATTTTTTTTCTCTGGGCATTATATTTTCGGTGTTGTGTCTGTTTTGCACTGCTCTAAAGGAACATGAGGCTTGGTAATTTATAAAGAAATAGGGATTTATCTGGCTCATGCTTCTGCAGGTTGTACAAGAAGCGCGACATTGGCATCTGTTTCTGGTGAGGACCTCAGGAAGCTTCCACCCATGGCAGAAGATGAAATGGAGCAGACATCACATGGCAGGAGGAAGGAAGCAAGAGAGAGAAGAAGGAAGAGTCTTTTTAACAGGCAGTTCTCATGGAGAGAGAACTCATTACCTTCAGGAGGCACCAAGCTTCCCCCTACAGGGATGTTCTCACCTTGCTCAGGCTCTAACACCTCACACCAGTCCACCCCACCTGTGGATTCCCTCCTCATCCCTCAGTTATATGCAGTTGAACTCTCCTCAACTACATGTAATTTGGCTGTAACACACCATGCTAAGTAGCCCACCATTGGGATGCCTTCTTCACCCGTCTTGGGTGCTGACTCCCCAGAGTAGGCTGTACCATCCCTTTCTGGATGCCCGTTCCATCCCACTTGGGATCTGACTTTTCTGCTTTTCACAGCCTCCTCTTCTCTCCAACACGTCGGTCTTACATTACTCTGCCCCACCTAATGGTTTTAAGACAAATTGGTGAGTACTGGAAAGAGAAGAGAAGGGAAGAGGAAGTGCCGTGCTTCTTAAAAAGGTCTCTGGCTGCTCTACTGAGAACAGACTATAGAGGGACGTGGTGGAGCAGGGAAACTAGTTAGGCAGCTTTTGCTTAGGCAAGAAATGAGGGTAACTTGGACTGGACGGTAGTAGTGAAATGGTGGAAAATAGATTCTGGATATATTCTAAAGGCAGAGTTGACAGGACTTGCTGATGGATGTGGATGTGGGGTGTGGTAGAGAAAGATGGGTCAGTGATATTCCTGGGCTCTTGGCCTAAGAGACTGGTGCTAATTACCTAGTTCAGGAAGATAAAAGGTAGAAGTTGTGGGTGAAGGATTGAGAAGTTCCTGTTTGGGAATCTGACATCTGAAAGTGACTGTTAGGCAGTGGAGATATTAAAGTGGCAGTTTGATATTCAAGGTCAGAGCTCAGGGGAGAAGCTGAAGACCTTACAGATTAAATTGGGGGGTATTAGCATTTAGATAATTTTTAAAGCTATGTGATTTGGTTGGTTTCACTGAAAGAGTAAATATAGATAGAACATGTCCAAGAACATCTAATTTTATTTTATTTATTTTTATTTCAAAATATTAAGGGTGTACAAATGTTTTGATTTCATGAATACTTTTCATAATCGTTAAGTTGGGGCTTTTAGTGTACACATCACCCAAATAATGTTCATTGTACTTGACATTGTATGTTGTATATGTATTGGATATAAAAAGGGTAATTTTTACCCTTTCCTGCTCTTCCTCCCCTTCTTGATTTCCAATGACCTTTACATGTCTTTGACTTCTGATTTTCAAGTTCAGAAAAAGGAGGGGTAAGATGCAACAAAGGAGATAAAAGAACAATCTGGAGAGTGGAATATCAGAAGCTAGTAAACAGAGCGATTCACAAAGCTGCCGAGGATTAAGAGGAGAGCATTAGTTTTGTGAAGCGGGAGATCTTAAGTCAAAGGCAAATGTGAGATCCCCTCTAAATGCAGCAAGATAGTAAAACAACAGGACTGGCCTGCCTGTGCCCCCAGAAGAGGAGGCTAGGGAAAAGGAAGAGATAAAGAGGGCTTTGGGGAGGTGCAGTTCGCTTTATACTCCCCCCAGTACTCTATCTGAGGGCTGGGGGCTACACAGCTCCATGCAGGGGCTTGATTTCCCCCAGATGCCTTGGACCTCTCTGCCAGCCCTGCTGGTGGTGCTTAGAGCCCAGGGAACCACTTCACCTGTTGCTCTGAAAAAGGCACATTTTTAGAAAGCACACTCATACCACCAACCTAATTTTTTTCTTTTTTTTTCCTTTTTACCACTCAGACTATGCTCTGTCCCTCTTACTCCTTCAGAGGAGGAGGAGGAGGATCATGAGTGGGAAGTGGCACTTGTAGCAAAACACACCAAGAGCTAGCTTCCCACTCAGGGAGAACCCTGCGCCTCCCCTCGTGGGTTCCTGTGCTCTGCACATTCAGAGAAGCTTCTCTAGTAATAGGCTGTAGACAGCATCCCTGAAAGTATAGACTTCCACCAACCTAATCTTAAAAAAAAAATCTTTCAGGGACTCTTTTTTTTTGTCCCTTTAGCAAAGACAATGGAGCCGACTACTCAAATAGCGGTCAGCTACCTTTTGGGAATTCCTACACTCTATCCCTGTTTTGTTTTTGTGACTTTTCTAAAAATTGCTCTGAGGATATATAGTAATAAAAAACTAGAAGTAAATGACATTTTGTGAATGACTTTCTCAATGTACTCTATAAAATCAGTGTAGCTTTCCTGAGGTGTCTCACAGATGGGACTAGAAATCAGTGCTCCAAGGATCCAGAATCATTCTTTTCTAGGCTGGTTGAGTAGAGCTTCCTGTCCGTTTTTGGAGAATCTATCTCCAGCAGTGGTGGAACCAAGAAGAAACTACAGGGAGCTTTTTACCCATGTAATCCCCCTATGTGTCCCCAGCAAATACAACTTAAAGCAGTCCTCAAAATAACCTTTTCTAATCAAAGTGCTATCCCTAAGCCTCTGTTACAGGCTAAATTGTGTTCCACATCCCAAATTCATATGTTGAAGCCCAACCCCTCAGTACCTTAGAATGTGATTGTGTATGGAGATAACTAAGGTGAAGTGAGTCCTTAAGGATGAACCTAATCTAATATGACTGGTGTCTTTACAAGAAGAGGCACCAGGGATGCACACGGAGGAAAGACCATGTGAGGTCCCAGTGAGAATATCACCACCTATCTGTAAGCCAGAGAGCCCTCAAAAAAAAAAAAAAAAAAAAATTCAGCCTCCAGAGCTATGAAAATAAAATGTTTAAGTCAGCCTGTCTGTGATATTTTGTTATGGCAGCCGTTGCAAACAAATACGGCCTCCTATAAGGAAACAAGAGTACTCCACTGCCTCCCCTTCATTTCTAACGGGAATACAAGTGAGCAGCTCCTGTTCACAGCTCTTGATAAGACAAGGAAACCAAACACACCCCCACCCCTTGGGTAGCTTGACTCTTCACAGAGACTCTTAGATGAGCCAGGTGCAGGAACTGTCATAAGGGAGAAGAGGCTGACTCTAGAAAAAATTGGGATTCCAGGCTCTGAGCAAATTTCACTTCTTCCTTCAAAATGGACTTTTTGGTGCAGGTGAGATTACATTAAATTCAATATCCAAGTCATTCTTCAAGGAGAAAATTAATCCAAAAAAGGAAAATACAGCAGGTATTTGTGGAAAGGAAGCAGGGGTGTTCTATCTAGAACAAATGAGTTGTGGACTGTTAGTCTGTTTTCTGTAGGAGGCTTCTGTGATTTCTGCAGCCCTAGTTACTGATTGGAGCTACCTCCTTGTTCACTTCTCTGTCTCACTGAGTATGGTGAACTGTTGTCTCCCAGAGTCCCTATTCATTGGCCGAAGGAAGGCTATTATTTAAGGGTACTCTATTCACCTGAAGAGCATAGGAAATGGAGACAAGTTTCTCTTGAATTGCATCTAATTTCAAAACTCTTGAAATAAAAGGCTCAGAAGGGTGACTAAACTGGAAATTGGAGTAAAATGTTCTCTTTTCACTATGTCTTTGTGTGCTGAAATAAAACAGCATCCCCCAATCCATACTTACATGTGTATATTTTCTAAAGGAATTATAAACGGTTACTATTGATACCGGAATTTTGCTCTTCAGTAGGTTCTTGGTCTCAGTGATTTGAAGAATGAATCCGTGAACAACAGATCAGTGGTAAGACAGGATTTATTTACAGAAAAGAATACAGAAGCGCCAGAGCTCCTGGCAGAGAGAGAAAACTCGAGTCAGGAGAGAAAAGTGTTCTCTCTCCCTCTCGGTTCTCTGTCTGTCTGTAGGCTCTTTGTCTAGGGGTCTATATAGTCACATGGGGCCCTTGCTAGTTTAGCGGGCTAGATAGTTGCATTTAGTTTAGCATGTCTGGAACATCATGTCTGGGACATTGTGTTTGGGCTATGTCTGGCCCTTGGTACTTACATTTAGCCTGTCTGGGACATCTGTCTGTCTGGAACAACATGTTACATGTAGCGCATCTGGGGCATCTGTCTGTCTAGAACAACATGTTACATTTAGCATGTCTGGGACATCTCTCTGGGTTGCAAATGAACGGCTACAATTCCTTTTAGTCCCAGGCCTAGGAAATGGGAACCCCCTGCCCACCCTCCAGCCTACTGGTTCTGCGCTTACTGCCACCACACCAACATTGCCAAGGCGGAGGCAGCTGGTTGGCACTTCCCAGCTGCACAAGCTGTCTGGGATATCACTTGTCCTATATCACTATAGTACCTACTTCGTCTAAATGTGTCAAAGAAAAAAAAAAAGGTGAGCTGTATAATCATGAGGTTCATTTTGAGATGTTGATACAGGACAAGTGGCATCCCAGTCAGCTAGTGGAGCTGGGGGGCGTGGACCTGCTGCCTCTGCCGTGGTTATGTTGGTGCAGTGGCAGCAAGTAGCGGAACCAGCAGGCTGGAGGGTGGGCAGGGGGCTCCATTTCCTAGGCCTGAGAAGGAAAGGGACTGTAGCCATTCATTTGTGACCCAGACATGTTCCAGACATGTCCCAGACAGGATGTCCCAGACACGCTAAATGTAACTACCAAGTCCTGCTAAATGTAACTAAGGAGGGCCAGACATGTCCCAGATGTTGTTCCCAGGGCCCTATGCGACAATATATGCCCCTAGACAAAGAGCCCACAGGCAGAGAGGGAGAGAGAGCACTTTTGTAGTCTGACTCGAGTTTTCTCTCTGCCAGGAGCTCTGGCACTTCTATATTCTTTTTTGGGAATAAATCTTACCACTGATCTGTGGTCCACGGATTCATTCTTTGAATCACCAAGACCAAGAACTTACTGAAGAGCAAAATTATCACTGAGGCCAAGAACCTACTGAAGAGCAAAATTCTGGTATCAATGTCAGGAATAGATCACATGTAGTATGTAGGCTACAGAGCGGTCTTAGGAGTACTGGACTGAGGACCAGGATTTCCCTCCTAGTCCTTCTTTTCTGGGGGCTAAAACTAATGTCAAATGCCTACTAGATAACGTCTGCTATTGTTTCATCCAACAAATATCTTTTTGCCAAGCAAGTTCAAGGTGTTGCTCTTTCCAACTAAATCATTCTACAATTTTCAGTATTTTCGAGCAACTCTTCCGGTGTGTTTAGCCCCGAGTTGAGCCGCGTCCATTTCAGTTTTTGGAGCCCCATTCTCCAAAGCTCATAGGCTACCAGGAAGAGTAGTGCCCCCGAAGCATGGTACAAGATAGCAGGGGATCAAACGTTAAAACATACTCAAGCACCAAAACATCCTGTCTGGCGCAAAGCAGTAAATAACGTGAAAAGATAAAGGGACATAGCAATACCGGCACGCGCCGAGCGCCGAGCGGTAACGGGTTCTGTGGGGCAGAGCCGAGGATAAGAGGCCAAGAGCCCCGCCCGGCATAAGCACGGGCGGGGCGGGGCGGGGGATCGAGAGTGTGTGGAGGAGGGGGCGGGGCGGGGCGGGGCCAGGCAGGCGTGAGCACCCTACACCGCCCACCGCGGCTGGCGGCGGCCTCTTTAAGAAGCGGAGCCGCAGGCGGGGCCGGCTGGCGTTCACATGACTGGGCTCCGCAGACTCGCGAGCGGAAGTCCTCGGCGGCAGGCACCCGGACTTTGGGTGCCCCGCGGGGCGGGTGGCCCACAGCCGGCAGCCAGGATGGTGCAGCTGTACAACCTGCACCCGTTCGGATCGCAGCAGGTGGTGCCCTGCAAGCTGGAACCCGAGCGTTTCTGCGGAGGAGGCCGCGACGCGCTTTTCGTGGCGGCGGGCTGCAAGGTGGAGGCGTTCGCTGTGGCGGGCCAGGAGCTGTGCCAGCCGAGATGCTCCTTCTCCACTCTGGGCCGAGTGTTGCGCATGGCTTACAGCGAGGCGGGTGAGTAAGCCGGGAGGGCCAGGGAGCCACGGCCCCCCGGCTCGGGGCCTCCTCCCTAGTGGACCGAGTGTCCTTGCTGCTGCTGTAACTGGGGAAGGGGCTTCGTGCATCCCGGAACTTGCCGAGTGGTCTGGTTGGGTCTGGCCACTGATTACTTAAGGTGCGCTGAGCGGTGCTGGTGGCTCGGCAACCAAAGGCGTGAGCCTGCTTCTTGCGGGGCGGGTCGCTGAATGCTCCTCCTCATTCTTAGTCCTTGCTGGAAAGACCTGTAGCTGGATTCCATTCATTCTAGACCAAAAAAAAAACCAAAATAACAGGACACGGACACAGACACAACTCTGGTAGTATAGAAAATGTCAAAACACATATAAAAGTAGAAGTAAGGGAGAACTGTATCCTGAACCCCAACATTCTCCCAGCTTTAACAGTTTACCTCCACTCGTGACCAGTTTTTGGTGTTTTTTTTTTTTTTTTAATTTGTTGAGAAAGAGTTTCTCTAGGATGCAGTCGGGTCATCATAGCACACTGCAGTCGCAGACTCCTGGGTTCAAGAGATCATCCTGCCTCAGCCTCCCAACGAATAGTTGGGACTCGTGGCTCCTGCCACCGCGCCGGCTGATTTTTCTATTTTTTGTAGAGGCAGAGTCTTCGTTTTCTACACAGGCTGGTCTCAAATGATCCTCCCACCTAAGCCTTCCAAAGTGTTAGGATTACAAGACCCAGTCCTTTTACGTCTATATCTCCATCTATTTCTAGTAGATGCTCACATTAGATCCTGCTTTTTAAATATACAGTATGTAATTAGAACTCCGGTCTTAGACCCCAGACCCCTTCTTAGCTGTAGGAGCAGTCACTATGCTTTTCCACCAGAAATGTGAAGTAGCACCGGGGTACTTTGTAGGTGTATCCCTGTTCTAGACATTTAAAGATAAATGTTTTTCAGATTACAAAAAAATTCACTCTAGGGTTCTTTTAACTATCTATAACACTTAATTTTGACCTGTACTTTAAAAGAGGGGTGTAAAGTGCTGTATTTGATCTGGAAAAGTTGATGGCTCAGGAAGAACAGAACTTGAACGTGAAGGATTGGAAATTTGCATCTAATCCCTATGCTGCAGCTGATTCAGTGTGAGTTTATAGAAACCGTTGGGTCTCAGTTTCTGTTTAAAAAGGAAAGTAAGTTGAATTACTTTATCAGTAATTTCTGGACATTGGACTTTTGTGGATGATTTAAGAACTGTGGAGTAACCGTGGGGTCATTTTGTCAGGTAAAGATATATGTTAGGCAAGCCTTGTTTTAGTATGTTTTGCTTTATTGCATTTGGCAAATAAATTGTGTCTTTTTACACGTTGCAGTTTTGTGGCAACTTTACATTGAACAAGTTTATCAGTGACATTTTTCTTGCAGCATTTGCTCACCTCATGTCTCTGTCACATTTTGTTAATACCTTTAGTATTTCAAACTTTTTAATTATTATATCTGTTATGGTGATTTGTGATCAATGATCTTTGATATTACTATTATAATTGTTTGGGGGTCTCAAGAACCACATCCATGTATGACCTGGAACTTAATCATTAAAATGTTGAGTATGTTTTAACTGCTCCACTGGTGAGTAGTTTCCCATTTATCTATCTCTCTCTCTCTCTCTCCCCTCCTCCCCTTCCACCTGCCTCCCCCCCCTCTTTCTCTCCCTTCCTCCCTCCCTTTCTCCCCCTCACTCTCCCTCTCTTTCTCCCTCTCTCTCCTTCTCTCCTGGGGCTTCCCTATTCCCTGAGACACAACAGTATTGAAATAAGGCCACTTAATAATCCTATAGTGGCCTCTTAGTGTTCGAGTGAAAGGAAGAGTTGCAGATCTCTCACTTTAAATCAAAACCTAGAAAGATTACGCTTATTGAGGAAGCTTATTGTGGAAAGCTGAAATAGGCTGAAAAAAGCTAGGCCTCTTGCACAAAACACTTAGCCAAGTCACGAGTACAAAGGAACATTTCTTGAAATTTGAAGTGCTACTCCATTGAACACATGAATGACACAAAAGTGAAGCAGCCTTATTGCTGATGTGGAGAAAGTTTTAGTGGTCTAGATAGAAGATCAGACCAGGCACAATATTCTCTTAAACCAAAGTCTAATCCAGAGTAAGGCCCTGACTCTCTTCAGTTCTTTGAAGACTAAGAGAGGTGAAGAACCTGCGGAAGAAAAGTTTGAAGCCAGCAGAGGTTGGCTCTGGAAAAATGCAAGGTGAAGCAGAAAGTTGAAACTGCAACAAGTGATCCAGAGGATCTAGCTAAGATCAATGAAGGTGACTACACTAAGTTTTCAGTTGCGCCCATATAGCCTTCTATTGGAAGAAGATGGCATCTAGAATTTTCATATGTAGAAAGGAGAAGTCAATGCCTGGTTTTAAAAGTTCAAAGGACAGGCTGAATCTTGTTAGGGACTAATGCAGCTGGTGACTTTAAATTGAAGCTAGTGGTTATTTACCATTCCAAAAATCCTAGTGCCCTTAAAAATTATGCTAAATCTACTCTGCCCGTGCTCTGTAAGTGGAAGCAGGGGTGATAGCATGCCTGTTTACAGCATGGTTTTCTGAATATTTTCAGCCCATTGTTGAGACAGCTCAGAAAAAGCTGTTCCTTTCCAAATGTTACTGCTCATTGACAATGTACTTGGTCACCCAAGAGCTCTGATGGAGATGTATAAGTAGATGACTTGTTTTAAGCTTGCTAACATAGCATCCATTCTGTAGCCCATAGATCAAGGAGTAATCCTGACTTCTAAGTCTTGCTATTTAAAATGTACAGGTTGTAAGGCTATATACTGCCACAGATAGTGATTTCCTCTGATGGATCTGGGCAAAATACATTGTAAACATTCTGGAAAGGATTCGCCATCCTAGATGCCATTAAAAACATTTGTGTTCCATGGGAGGTCAAACAACAGTGTGACAGGAGTTTCGAAGAAGTTGATTCCGATCCTCATGGATAACTTTGAGGCGGTCAAGGCTTCAGTGGAGGAACTAACTGCAGATATGATGGAAATAGCAAGAGAACTAGAAGTGGATCCTGAAGATAGGACCGAATTGCTGCAATCTCATGATAAAACTTGAGTAGTTGCAGAATTGCATCTTAGGGATGAACAGAGAAAGTGGCTTCAAAGAAACTGGTGAAGATAGTATGAAAGTTGTTGAAATTCAACAAAGAGGCTCGGCGCCTGTGGCTCAAGCGGCTAAGGCACCAGCCACATACACCTGAGCTGGCAGGTTCGAATCCAGTCCAGGCCCACCAATCAATGATGGCTGCAACCAAAAAATAGCCAGGTGTTGTGGCAGGTGCCTGTAGTCCCAGCTACTTGGGAGGCAGAGGCAGGAGACTCACTTGAGCCCAGGAGTTGGAGGTTGCTGTGAGCCGTGATGCCACGGCACTCTACCCAGGGGGACAGCTTAAGGCTCTGTCTTAAAAAAAAAAAAAAAAGAAAAAGAAAGAAATTCAACAAAGAATTTAAAATATTGCTTAAGTTTGGTAAAGCAGTGGCAGGGTTTGAGAGGATTGACTTCCGTTTTGAGAATTGTTCTGTGAGTAAAATGCCGTCAGATAGCATCACGTGCAAAATGCCATCAGATAGCATCACTTGCTGCCCAGAAGTCTTTTGGAAAGGAGTCAATTGATGTGGCACTTTGTTGTCTCATTTTAAGAAATTACTACAACCACCCTAACCTTCAGCAAACACCACCCTTACTAGTCAGCATCCTTCATCAAGGCAAGACCTACCCCCAGCAAAAGGGTGATGACTCACTGAAGAATCAGATGATTGTTACCCTTTTTCAGCAATGAGGTTTTTTTTGTTTGTTTGTTTGTTTTAGAGACAGTCTGACTTTATCACTCTCAGTAAAAGGTAGAATGCCATGGCGGCGTACAGTTCACAGCAACCTCCAGCTCTTGGCCCTAGACGATTCTCTCGCCTCAGCCTCCCAGGAGCTGGGACTACAGGTGTCCGCCACAACGCCCAGCTGGTTTTGTTTTTTTTTTTTTTTAATTGCAGTTTAGCTGGCATCAGGTTTGAACCTGCCACCCTCGGTATATGGGGCCAGCGCCTTACTCACTGAGCCACAGGCGCCGCCAGCAATGAGGTATTTTTTAATTAAGATACATACCTTGAATTTTTTTTTAGACATTATAGTATCACACAAGTAGTAGACCACAGTGTAGTATAAACATAACTCTTATGTGCTCTGAGAAAACAAAATGTGTTACTCTTTACTGCATTATTTACTTTCTGTTGTCACCATTATTTATCAAAGGGGAAAAGAAAAACCCTTAACACCAGACATTGGATCCCGTTAGCTTTCTGAGCACCTTACTTTGTTGTCATTGTTTTTTCTTTTTGTCTGATAACATCAGCAGGGTCCTGCACTGGTTCACAGACCTGTTTGAAAACCACACATTAGGTCTGTAAATTCCTTTTCAACGGGAAGATTCTGCTTCTGGTTTTTCTTATAAAATCCATTGTAAATGGTAATGCCTTTTACAATATTGGTAGATTTCTCTATCCCTCCCCTTTTAGAAATAGGAGTTCTTGCCTTTGAGTTCTGTTGAGTGGCAAATTTACCAGTTTCAGCTTGTACATGAATGCAGGAAAGAGAGACACGAGGAGATGGACACACACACAGACCATGTTTACATGATTTGCCCCATTCTTCCAAAGGCTTGTTTGCTCTAGAATTTTAAGCGGCAGGCATTACATAAACCTCTAGCTTTCTTGCTGTCAGCAGTGATGATTCCTGAAATCCAGAGATGGCTACTACCTGTACATAAGAATCACCTGGGAAACATTAGAAAAGTCCCCATGCCTAGGTCATACGCTCATAGACACAGTATGTTCCCCTGGATTGAGGCCAGCCTTGGGATGAGTTAAATGTTTAGCCAAAATTGAGAACCATTGGTCTAGAGCTACACTGGGTGCAGTGTACATGCCAGGAGTAGCATGGTAACCTCAGTGAGGCTTAGAAGAACAAAGAAGGTTTTATAATCCGCTTGGCTGCCTTAAAGCTCAGGAGTCATGTGGGTTGTTGGCCTTAGCCTAATGGATCATATAGTTCAAGGGTAACTTTCAGTACAGCATTTGGACTTCAGCCCCTGGGTACAGCTTCTATTAATCCTCACATAATTGAACACAAATAGGGCTAACTCCCGGCTATGCTGATGTTCAGATGACTTGTTTCCCACTTCTCAGCTTTCCCTTTGGTCCCCTTCCTCTCATTCACAGTAACTGGAGCATGGGGATTCCTGCTCTCAATGCTCAGTGTCGTCCTCTGTAACAGATCTCCCCCTGTCAAAAGTGGAATCATATAGCAGACGTTTATGTTTACTATAAATGCTTTGCAAACAAAACAACCAAACATCGCATGTGCTCACTTATAAGTGGTAGCTAAGCAGTGAGTATGTGTGGTCATTCAGAGTGATGTAATGAATGTTAGAGACTCAAAAGGAGGAAGAGAGGGGTTGAGGATGAAAACTTCCTCTTTGAGTACAGTGTACACTATTGAGGTCACAGGTACACCGAAAGCTTAGATTTCTTCCCTTAGACAATTCATCAGTGTAACAAAAATCCATTTGTACCCCCTAAATGTATTGAAAATAAAATTTTAAAAAGTATTTTATAAAGGAAGAAAAGGGCTTTGTAGGTCTTTTACCCAAGCCGGAAATATTTTCAGGATCTTTTTGTTTGTTTATTTGTTTGTTGTTTTTTTGAAACTTGAGTCTCAAGATGTTGCCCTGGGTAGAGTGCTGTGGTGTCATAGCTCACAGCAACCTCCAACTCTTGGGCTTAAGTGATTCTCTTGCCTCAACCTCCCAAGTAGCTGGGACTACAGGCGCTCGCCACAGCATCTGGCTATTTTTTGGTTGCATTTGTCATTGTTGTTTGGCGGGCCTGGGCTGGATTCAAACCCACCACCTCCGGTGTATGTGGCTAGCGCCCTAACTGCTTGAGCTTCAGGCACTGAGCCCAGGGTTTGTTTGTTTGTTTGTTTTGTCTTGTTTTTAAATAAAATTTTAAAAAGTATTTTATAAAGGAAAAAAAGTCTTTCACCCAAGCACAAAATATTTTCAGGGTTTTATTTGTTTTTTAAATCATTCAGCTAAAAAGTATTTTTTTTTATAAACTTTGAGGTTAGAGGACAAAGTAGGTAGGGCTTCAAAACCCACTACAGATTTTCCAAGAAGGAAAAGATACATATCTGGCTGCGTAACAATCATGTAAAAAGAGAGAGATGCCATAAGCATAGGGTGACCAGATTTTAACATTTGTAAAGCGGGACAATATGGGGGGGGGGGCAGGGCCTGACAACAATGCAAACTTTGATAAGCAGTTCTCGATAATAACTTCTCAACAATTATTTGTTATTATTACAATTTAACATTATAAAATTAACAAAAATAATATAAAACTCATATTCTGGCGAAATAGCCAAATGGCAGCCGAAAACCGTATGTTCCCTTCCTGTTCTCCTGCCCGTTCGTGCATTCTTTCCAAAAATCAGGACTTTTTAAAAATGCTGTGGCACAAATTGTTAAAAAGCGGGACGTCTGGTCACCCTACATAAGCAAAGTCAAAATCGAACAGTAGACTACCAAAAACTGTTTATATTATGCATGACCAACAGAGGGTTAATATCCCTTTAACTCAAAGAACTATAATTGCTTGATTTGAAAATCAAATCAACAACCTAATAAAAAGCGAACAATTTGCAGAAGAGAAACTAGACATAGCTAATAAGCATAGGAAAAGATGGCTGGCTTTGTAAGTAGTCAGGGAAATCTAAATTATAAGAACTGTCAGAGCCTGTGTTGTCCCCATCAGGTAGAGCCAGTTCTAGGTGAAGATCTGGGTAAACAGGTACGTTCAAACAGCGCCACTGGCAACATGTATTTCTGTTGTCTGATTGTGGTAGTTATCTGGCAATCTTTATTAAAATTTAAAAGGCATCTGCCATTGGGCCCAGCATTCTCACTTTTGGAAATCTATGCCATTAAAACAGATACCCCCATAAATAAATGGTTAGGTATAGACCTATTTATTACAATATGAAGCAAAGTGGCAAAAAAAAAAAAAAAGCTATAAATAATTGATTATCAATTGGGGAATTGTTGAGTAAATTATGGTACTTACATATATGCTCTTTTACAGATATTAGAAAGGATATTAGACTCCACATAGCAATCTGGACGAGAAGATTTATTGATAATTTTAAAAAGTAGCAGATTGTTAAATATATTTAGTGGGATTCCATTTGGTAAAAAAAAAAAAAAAAAGGCAAGAGAATACCACTCTGCGATCTTTGTTTATGTGAGAGGAAGAGGTAGAAGGCCCACACCAGGCAGTGTGTCAACATTGGGCCCTCAGGGCTAGGGCTCCAGCGGGGAGGTCATTATGCTTTTCATTTCGTCTCTCTTTACCACTTCACTGTTTTGACTTCTCAGAATTAATATATGTTACTTGTATAAGTTGAGAAAGCTCACACTTGTAATCCTCACACTCTGGAGGCTGAGGCGGGTGGATTGCCTGAGCTCACTGGTTCAAGACCAGCCTGAGCAAGAGTGAGACCCATCTCTAAAAAATAGCCAGTCATTGTGGCGGGCGCCTATAGTCCAGGCTACCTAGGAGGCTGAGGCAAGAGAATCACTTAAGCCCAAGAGTCTGAGGTTGCTATGGGCTGTGACCCCACAGCACTCTACCTAAAGGGTGGCAAATTGAGACTCTGTCTCAAAAAAAAACCCCAGAAACCAATAAAAGAAGAAAGCTCACACAATCAACAAATAAGGGAGAATTAATTTGGATTTACATTTTATTTCATATTTCCAGCTTTGTCTTATTTTCCAGAGTTGTGACTTTTGTGGAAAGAAGGGTTAGAGTATAAGTTCCATTAATCTCAGAATTCCTTAATTTATACTTCATTCCAGGGTCACCCTAATACTGCTGAACTCTTTGTCAGTTGAGCTTTGTTGGAGCTGTAGATTTAGAGCTGCAGTAAACGCTTAGAGCTAATATAAGGAATAAAATGTAAAATTTCTAGGTGACATGGATAATTAAGCCACTAAAATGGAGAGATGGGAGGAGATTGTATTTCAGAACTCGATGCCTAAGGTTGGTTAAAAATACAACTAAGATTTTCTTACTTTAGAGTTTTGTTCTATTGAGTCTTTCATTCAACCGTTTGTGGTAGAATTCACGAATAGCTTGATTTCATGGCAGTGAGGTAAGGCGCTGTGTTTCCAATTACAGATTCTAAGTATACTCTTATTTCCTTAGGAGACTATTTGGTAGCAATTGAAGAGAAAAACAAAGCTACATTTCTACGGGCGTATGTGAACTGGAGAAGTAAAAGGACAGAGAACGCCCGCGTGTGTATTCGAATGGTTGGTCATGATGTGGAGGCATCTTTCAGGGAAACCTTCAGAGACCAGATGTCTATTGTTGAAATGCCGCTTTCTGAGGCCCCCCTGTGCATTTCCTGTTGCCCTGTGAAAGGAGACCTCCTTGTCGGCTGCACAAATAAGTTAGTCTTATTCAGTTTGAAGCGTCATACCATCGATGAGGAGTTCTCCCTGTTGGACTTCGAACGCTCTTTAATTATACACATAGATAATATCATGCCTGTCGAAATTTCTTATTGTGTTGGACATGTTGGTGTCATGTCAGACTTGGAAGTCTTAATCCTAAAACTGGAGTCAGACGCTAAAATTGCAGAAAGAGTTAACCACCATTCTCGTAAGGCCAGCAATCCAGTGAAACAGACAGAAAAAGGTAAGTGATGAATTCAACTTGCTTTCTTCTTTTAGGTCTAGAGAAAGCCTTCACCTTTGGGGATCTCTGGAGGGCGCTGGTCTATGTGGTGTCAAACCACGTTATTTATAGCACGGGTGTCCAACCTTTTTTCTTGTCTGCCGCACCTTGGAAGAATAAGAGTTGTCTTGGGCCACACATTTAACACACAAACACCAATGAAAGCTGATCAGCTAAATAAAAAGGTGGGCCTTGTGTCTTATATCAGACACCCCTGATTTATAGATTTAGTTATTCCTGTTACATGCGGTTTGGGTTCATGATCTGGCTGTCCATATCTTTTTTTTTTTTTTTTTGAGACA